CCGCACATACATGATATCGCTGTCATACTTACGTCATTTGACTCTATTTCGCAGGAAATCACATCATCACTGGATGGTATGGCGCGGCTTGAACGATCCGAGCAAGATAATCTGTCACAAATGTTTTCTGGACAGAAGTCAATGACACGAACGTCCAGGCCACGGTAGCTGCTATTAAAGACCTAAAAAATGCCCTATTCTGATCGCATAAGCGAATATCATTTCCATGTGGCTATACCACCGGCCGTATACCACTGTAATATTTACATAAATTATTTCAATCATACAAATTACTCACGTATCGGGTTGGTATGGATGTTGTTTATTATTTATTCTTGTCTCTTGTGTAGTTCCTCTGGTTTCGCTGTTTTGTGTTTGCATTTACTCCTGACTATTTATGTATTACCTCCACTCGTTGTGGTGAAGACGTTAGGAATTCTTGCAGAATAGTGAGACAATGTGAACGCAATAAAATCTCGACGACAATGTGTACTCGCATTGTTTGTTAAGTGAAAAAGATATGAAACGTATGCATTGGCCATCCACATGTACGCTTTCTCTGCATATCTATTTCTGTGTTGTTGTCGTTGTTGTTCTAGTCTCGTTGCTTTCGGCATATATGGGATTGCTTACCACCGGTGGTGCCTTGAAAGCATTGTTGGTGTTCTGATCACCGAATTTGAACGCATCGACCACCTTCGCAGCCGCCTTGTTGCGCTTGTTACGCTTTCTGCGGAGGAAGAGCAACAGCAACAGCAACAGCAGCAACAAGAATAGCACACCAAATGTCACTCCGAGGGCAATGGCTAGAGTATTGTCACTGCTCTGCTCGAGTGTCGACTGTGTGTTGCCTGCAGAGTTTGTATTCACGGTGGAAGGAAATGATACGATCACTTCCGGATCGTATTGGTCTCTGTATGCATCGCACACATACCAGCTATTGTCAGGCTTGGACTTGCCAAACGTCGGTGCCACGGTGGTGTCTAGCTTTTGGAAGCATATAGACTGCACATCGCATCCCTCACCCAATCGAGTGCTGGGTACTGTGGGAGCTGTCGCCAACGATTCGCCCCCGTCGTTCGTATTTACTGTGACCGGTTCACCGGTTGTTTCACAGTCGCACCACTGTGGTAGGCCCTCCCGTACAGAGACCGCACCTGTTTGGAGATTAGCAATTAGTTCTTCTTGGCGACTTTTCAGGAAGTTGCAGCTCACTATACACTCGCAAACTGTCCCTTTCATGGTGTCCAGCAAGTTATAGCCCCCGTTGTTGTTGGGATCTAAATCGCTGCGATCGCCAATGGTAGCACTACCACTACTTTCAGCACTGGGGACGGCAGTTCCTGTGTCGGTGGGTAAGTCTATCTCATCCGTGACTGTACTGATACCCCCCCCTTGCTGTTGGCCAAAGTCAGTGATGTTCCCATTCACTACCCCACCGTCACCCAGGGTGCCATCCGTACCATCATCAGTTTCACCCACATTATTATCTGCACGTTCATTGCCATCACCATTTTCATTACCGTCGCTACCATTGATGTTATCATCATCATCATCATCATCACCAACATTATCGTTTTCGCCACTGCCATTGTCACCGTCGTCGTCATCATCTCCGACACCGCTACCGTCACCGCCGTCGTTATCATCATCATCTTCACCACCATCGGTGTTGCCTGTGTTGTTATTATCATCACCATCATCATCACCACCATTGATGCTGCCTGTGTTGTTATTATCATCACCATCATCACCACCACCATTGATGCTGCCTGTGTTGTTATTATCATCACCACCATCATCACCACCATTGGTGTTACCAGTGTTGCTATTATCATCACCATCATCACTACCATTGATGTTGCCAGTGCTGTTATTATCATCACCATCATCACCACCATTGATGTTACCGGTGTTGCTATTATCATCATCACCACCACCACCGCTACCACCACCATTGATGCTACCAGTGTTGTCATCATCATCATCATCAACATCACCTCCACCATCCCCGTTGCTACTACCAGCATTTATGTCATGGTCGCCATCGATATCATTGTCAACATCATGGTCGTTCTCATTCCCTTTGTCAGCATCATGGCCATCATCATTCTCATTATCAGCATCATGGTCGCCATTGTTATCACTATCATTATCATGGTCGCCATCATAATCATCAGCATCGTCGTCGTCGTCCTCCTCACCATTATTATTCTTCTCATGGACTTTGGTATTTTGCTCTGTATCCTCATCATCGTCCCTCAAGAATCGTCGATCAGGTGCCGTAGCGGCATGTTCGGCAACCATCTTGCAATACTATTACGAAGAGTATGTGCGTGTGTGCTCATGCAATGTGGAGCCATCCACTATTATATCTGTCACGTATGTTATGATTATTTATAGTCGAAAAGTTGTTGGGACCGCAGAGTCACAGTCTAGGCGAACAATCGAACATCACACAACGAATGGGTGCTTATCGGTTTTTATTAATAGATTCATAAATTCATTGGTCATATTTCTATGTCGTTAAGCCCTGTATTGGCTGTGGTGCTATGTTCGGTTTTGATTCGAAGAAAAGATATTTCAAAATTTTATAGTAGAGCTCGGTATGTATGTACATTGTACCGTGTACAATCTTTATTTCTATAAATACACTTTCCCTCTCTTTTAGTCTCTCGCTCTTGGTGACCGGCCAAGCGGCTAAGGTGCCAGTCACGAGTGTCGACTGTCGAAAAGACTGTCGACTAAATAAATACCGCGAGTGCCGTCCCTGATACCCCCCAGAGGGACCTACCGATTATTTTTAAAGAAAAACAAAAGAGACGAAAAAACAAATTCACGCTTTTTATAATCAAAAAAAAAATTGGTAAATAAAAGTGGGCGCGGACTCGCGGAGTCACGAAGGACTCTTCCGAGCAGAGACAGACATGCTAACTAACGAACTTGCAAAACGTAAACAAGCCGTGACGTGAGATCGATTATACATTCTGCGCAATCCCCGCAGTGTATATCAGCCATGAATCTGCGCAGTGTAGTATCAGCCATACACTTAGTTATAGATACTCACACCACATAAAATTCGAAAGGCGAACCTTGTAACATTCTGTTATTGTTCTCCACTGATTTAAATGAGTGCTTATATATATATATATATATATATATATATATATATATATACAAACAAACAACACATATATATA